GGGTTCCCCACACTATGCGGGAGGTAACATTCAGGCATAATACCGTAAAACGAGTGCTCTTGTCGCTCGACATCAACAAAGCTTCTGGACCGGACTTGATTCCTGCCATTGTACTGAAGAGATGTGCAGCGGAGCTTGCTCCAGTTCTTTCGCGTCTCTTCCAGATATCTTATGAATCCGGCACCTTCCCAGAAAACTGGAAATTTGCTCATGTACAGCCCATCCCAAAGAAAGGATCTAAAACCGACCCTTACAACTACAGGCCTATAGCCCTGCTTTCTGTTATAAGTAAAGTGATGGAGAGGTGCATAAATCGCGAGCTTCTGGACTACCTCGAGCGTAACAGCTTGATTAGCGACAAGCAGTACGGTTTCCGGCACCAACGATCCACAGGGGACCTCCTAGCTTACGTCACGCAACTGTGGAGTAAACTCATCCAGTCTCATGGTGAGGCTCATGTCGTTGCCCTTGACATCACGAAAGCGTTCGATCAGCTGTAGCACGCTGCCCTCTTAAGCAAACTTCCATCCTACGGCCTCCCAGAAAAGCTTTGCAGATGGGTGTGGCTGACTTTATCTCTGGCCGCAAGATATCCGTCGTAATTGACGGATTCTCCTCCTCATCCCACAACGTCAACGCGGGTGTTCCCCAGGGATCGCTCTTGGCTCCAACACTGTTTCTCTTACATATCAACGACCTCCTTTCCTGCACGATCAACCCAATCCACAGCTTCGCTGATGACAGCACTCTACATGCAGGAATTCAGAGTGACAAGCCGATCTCTGCCGCTGAGCTGGAAAAAAGAAGACTAGCGACGACTTCTTCTCTGACAAGAGACCTGGACGCTATCACTACTTGGGGACGCAACAATCTTGTACAGTTCAATGCTTCCAAAACACAGTACTGTACTTTGATGAACAAAAAGCGTCCTAGCGCTCATACAGTTGCGATGGACGGTCGAGTTCTACCAAAGAGCCATTCATTTCGGCTGGTCGGAGTCCAGATCACCGAGGACCTGATCTGGCACGAACACATCTCTTCAATAGCTGCAGCTGCTGGGAAAAAGCTAGGCTATTTGTTTAGGGCTAAGAAGTACTTTTCTCCGCATGACGTTCTCACTCTATACAAGGCCCAGATAAGGCTTAGCCTCGAGTATTGCTCACACATTTGGGGTGCTGCCGCCCCGACTACATTGTCCATGCTCGATGCTGTCCAGAGGAGGGAGGTCCGACTGATCGATGACTCTTCCCTAACAGACAGTCTCGGGACTCTTTCGCACCGGCGGGCCGTCGGCGATCTAGCTCTTTTCTATCGCTACACCAACGAGCTTTGCTCCTCAGAGCTCTCTTCCATGATGCCGCCGCGCGATGTGCCTGCCAGACAGACCCGCCTGACTTCGGCGTCCCATCCTAACCGTGTCAAACTTCGTACATCCAGAACTGGCCGATACGACCGCTCCTTTGTCTCGAGGGCGTCTAGATTGTGGAACAATCTACGGGAGGAAGCTTTTCCCAGTTCTACTAACCTTAGGCAGTTCAAAAATCGTATTAACAAAATTTCTTTGGGATCATCATAGCAGCCGCGGTGTTCTGGCATTTAGGTTTCTGCCTGCGCGGCTGTTTCGATATATATAAAAAAAAAATATTTCACGAGTATCAATCACGCTTTGACGACTACTGAAGTCAACAGCTGATCAAGTGACTTTTTTGTGTTAAAAAATTGTTTGTAACGTTTTGTTTTTTGTATGCAAATAAATAAAAGAGCCTTTAGCAAGTACAAAAGAAGAACGTAAAAAAACGTAATTTATAACTTTCAATATAACCTGTCTTCAGAAAGGACAACATACACCCTTTTTCACGAGTATCAATCACGCTTTGACGACTACTGAGGTCAACAGCTGATCAGCTAGTGACATTTTTGTGTTAGTCTGCTAAAAATTTTTTGTAGCGTTTTGTTTTTTGTATGCAAATAAATAAAAGAGCTTTTAGCAAGTACAAAATGAATCTGTAGCGTACAAAAAACCAAAACAAAATATGGCGTTGGCTACCTGGGATTGACGGATCCGTCAGAATTATATGTCCTTTGCCGATATGGGGAATTTTGAAATATTACTAGATAACCATTCTACCGTGTTGGATACTCGAGAAATAGGGTATACTATATAAATAACCCGTCGGGCAGAGCTAATAGATATTCATTGGCAACATGTTCAGTAATGATTTTCTCACACAGTAAATATCACTGATGTTATACGCTTGCAGACCAATACACACAATCATCCAGGTTGCGGTCTTGCTATTAAACTCAGCTTCACAAAACATATGCAACCAACACTGCGTGTAGTGGTGTAGTTGAGTCATTCCTCCATAGTTGGACGTTCACAACGACCGTAGTGAGCAAGCATGCAAGATGACATTTTATAGTTTTTTTTTACCTTTTATAGGTTTTTTTACATAATACCAGTACCGATATTTGAAAGATTTTGGCAGGTCATGGTGAGGAGAATCGACCACTGCTATCAGTTGGAACTGTAAAAATTTCAGATTGCGTTTGATGGCGCAGTCACCACTGTGACCGCTAGAGGCTGACGAATCTGGCGGTATAGTTATTGTGTTCAACCTCGAGATATATACAGGTCCAACCGATAGCTGCTATAAAATCTCGCGGTGTCGATTCTGGCAATAAAGGACGCTTTTCGTTGTCTTATTTCGACAGATCTCAAACGGCAGTAAGGTTATGCTTTTTCAGGATCCGAATTCATTTGTTACAATATGGGAGGACAAGAGTTCGAGTAGCTTACACGCAAATGTGAGCTATGGAGAAATTAAAAAGGTATCATCGGCGTTAGTTCATAAATATTTCAAAATGATGTCATGTTTAAAGGCCGTCTGCTACGACACAATATTTTGTTGATAATTTGGTACCAAATTTTCGTGGAAAAATGCGTTACTGAATTTAGTTCCCAATTTGCTTACCAATTACAATCCTGTCTGTCACTAGAAATTTTTGTAACAAATTCCGTATGAAAGCATCGGCAATCGGTAGAAAAAAACTATAAGTATCAACTGCCATTGTATTACGTCGACGTCATACTAACCACAGTTTTTGTTGCGGCTTGCTATTTTATTACTTTAAACAATTAGAGAATTGTGCGACCCCGTAATTCGCGTATATTATATGCAACTGCGGAACCAACAATCTGCGTTGTAGCTGTGTATCTCATGAAAAACGTAGTAACGGTACCGCGAAAGAATTTGGTGTCGAAAATGTATCAGGCAGAGGGCCGGCATGGGCATCACGTATCTTGAAAAGTGACATTAGGTCGGTCTTTTTGACATAACGTAGGTTTTTTCAACATGACGTTGGTTTTTCTTCAAGATGTTAACTCAGTTCTAGCTGATGGACACTTGTTGTGAACTCGTTTTGTAGTTGTACGTGTCGCCTAAACGTCATGATGCTTGAGTTATCAATGTTTGGCACTGATGTGATGTAACATCTGCTTCAGAGATGGCATTATTGGAGGTCTAAGCTGTAAGTTATAATTTATAACTGGAAGAAAACGGCAGTGCATAGGTGCATAGTGAGGATATGTGTGTTAATAATATCGATGTGTTGATGATAAATTACATTGGTTTATTGACTCAAATACACTTACTTGGGATTCACAGCAAGAACTAGAAATTAGTTGCGCATCCACTTTTTTTTATCGAATCTGGAAATTACATATGCAAATTTGCTGAATTTCAAAAATGAGACAGATACGGTAAGAAAATCCCTGGTTGGTGAAGTAACAGGTGAGAAAATATTATTACATTATTTTTTTGCGATGTCAATAAAAGATACAAGTCAGCATCTAGATATGAGGCGTTGCGAAAATCTTTGAATTTTTCTGTGATGGAGCTTGCACACAAGACAAAAACGGAAAATATCGAAATTTATAACTTTGAACATAACCTGCCTTCAAAAGGACAACATTTAAATAACCCGTCGGGCACAGCTAATAGATATACTTCATTGGCTGCATATTCAGTAACAATTTTCTCACATCTATCATATCACTGATTTTATACACATGCAGAGCAATACACATAATCATCCAGATGCGATCTTGTTACTCAACCAACTTATCTCTTTCAGATCTTCTCAGAGATAAACATTACAGGCTTCTCGGCTTCACAAAACTTATACGTGCTTTCTGCAACGAATAATGCGTATAGTTGAATCGTTCCTTCATAGATCGACGCTCACAGCGATTGTAGCGAGGAAACGTGGAATGAAATATTTGTACCCTAAAAACTACCTAGTTTGCAAGACGACATTCCGTTGCTTTTTTTTGAAGTTTTATAGGTTTTGGTTCTAAAGTAATTTTGATTTTATTCAACGTAGCTTATCTGGCGTTTCTGTTTTGGTAGGGCTTGCTTCTTAGAGCATATAAGAAATCATATGTCTCATACTCGTTTAGTGGTATGCCACACTGCTCTTTTGACGAAGACATCTTCTAAGTTTTTCAATCTACAAGTAGAACAGCCTACAGCATAAGCAGGGGAACTGATGAACGCAACTGATCACAACAACTGATGAAAGTGCTCGAGGTTAGGCTTGTTTTCGTCAACCAATTATCATATCATCTAATCATCACAAAACATCAAGAGAATATCAAAGAGTTAACATTTTACCATGATATTAGTTAGAACAGGTTCAAAAAAATTTAACACACAATTTGGTCACACAAAATTATTTACTAATTGATGTCCGATACTATTCTTAATTTTGTACCAAATTTAGCGTACTCAATTTAGCACAAAATTTCGTATCGTAACAGACGGCCTTTACAGAGACGCCTATATGCACGTATCATCCAGACTGTGGTTCAAGTCATCGTTGGTTATTAGAGCGGTCCGTGGGACCCTAGCTCTTGAGTCACAGTGTCAGTTTGCAAGTCTGTCAGTTCTGGTAACCCAGAAACCAGACAATTTTAAGACCAGACGGTGGTTCTCGATCTCTAATCCCTAACCTTCTCAAGAAATGCGTCATAATATGTCAACAATATGTCAACCTTCTTAAAAAATTAAAAGTGTACCCCTTCGTCATACTGACCTCCAAAACTTACTTACATTTTGATGGATGGAGCAGATAAATGTATAGTAAAATGCCGCTGCACGCAAAGCAGATTACTCAGCAAGAAAGGAAGATACCCAATTTTTTTAAATTCGTTTTTGGAGGCAGTGCAGGGTAAATACTTGGTTACTGATTTAGCTTTGATTAAATTTTGAATAAAATGTACTTAGTTAGGATCATGCGGACTTTTAACAAGTTATACCTTGAAGCAGAAAGGAAGAAGTTCGGCATGTACATCTTAATGGAGCCATTCACCATGAATTAAGTTACGGCTAAGTTCACTCTGCATCAGTGTTGCCGAACCTGCCGATTTTTCGGTATTTCTACCGAAATGGGACCTTATCCACCGAAATACCAAAAACGTATTCACAAGAGACGTCGATTTGGGTATATTTGTTTTTGTTCGTACAACAGGTACAGAGTGGTAGATCACCGTCATTACCGCATCACCAGACAAGCAATATGAAAACCGAAGCTCGTCTTTATCTGATTGAATGTTAAATTAAAATGTCAGGTGATAAGGCTTCAACTTCAGGGGCAAGTCTGGAAAATATTCAGAATCTTATAAACATGAATGACAAAACGAGTCTCAATGATGGTTTCTAAGGAGCTTGAACAGTAACTTCATTGTACAAGTAAAGGACTTAATATCTTTCAAGAAACAGGAACGCTCAATAAAAAAATATACTTTTTACGTTTAATTTAAGGATGGCGGGAATGTGTTTTGTCCAGCCATTGGAATTGCTGAAAAACCGAATGCAAGTCACCAAAGGACAAGCTAGTCTCACAGAGGCCGTAACAGGAATAATAGACGAAAAGGGTGTCAAAGGTCTATGGACAGGTCTATCCGCAGGGTTGGCGAGACAAGCAACTTATACAACAACAAGATTGGGGATATACACGGTTCTATTTGATAAAGCCAAGGCTGCAGATGGCACACCACCAGGGTACGCTGTAAAGGCAGTGCTGGCTATGATGGCTGGACTGTGTGGTGCTTTTGTAGGTAGTAGCCTGGATAACAAACATCAATTAAAATGAAGTAGTAGCAAAATTTTGATTCCCAGTGATATTCATTATATACCTTGTTGAAGAAGTAATGCCATTATTGACCGATCACTTTTATAGCATAGCGCCAATGGATATAATGAGCTTACAAGGCATTGTTTGTCACCAAAATGTTGTTATTTCGTTGTCGTTGTCATTGAGGTCGGCAGGGTTAATATGTAAAAAACCTTCCACAATGTCAAAAAACCGATAAAATGTCAATTTGTTGACTATGTAGTGTGCGAGATGTGCCTGTCAGACAGACCCGCCTGACTTCCGCCTCCCATCCTATCCATGTCGAACTATCCAGAACTGGTCGATACGACCGCTCCTTTGAAGTGAGCATAACGTGAATGTCAGTTATTTAAAAGATGACATTTTTCAAGAAAACTACATAACGTCAAGGAAACCTACATAATGCATTGAAAAATCGATATAATGTCACTTTTCAAGCAACACAATACGAGTGCTGGGCTTATTCACGAGAAAACAAAAGATACTGGTTAATACATGACATTTCCAGTAATGTCGTTTAGGGTCAATATTGCATTATTTTTATTGGTGAGATTCCTTATATATCCTGTGTAATCCTGGTATAGTCATTTTTTGGCTCCCTTGAGTTATACCTCAACATCGGCTGTTCCAGATCGATCAACTTGCCGACCTCACCTTGCATTCCAGGAACCCCTACCGACCTCGCCTTAGTGAGAATGACTGCAGACAGCAAACTACCTCCAGAAGAAAGGCGTCACTACAAGCACGTTTTTGATGCCTTATTTCGCATATACATGGAGGAAGGGTTGTTCAAGTTGTGGAGGGGAGCCCTGCCTACGATGGGCAGAGCAGTGATAGTAAATGCAGCTCAACTGGCCACGTATTCTCAGGCAAAGCAGAAGCTTCAGCAGGGTATGCAGCTGAATGACGGTGTCGTTCTGCACTTTCTCTCTTCCATGATATCTGGACTGGTCACGGCGATTGCTTCTCAGCCAGTTGATATGATGAAGACCAGGTAGGTGCCTGCATCACACTCAGCAGCCGAATCTTAACGCTTTTTAGAGTATGCTTTATGGATGAAGATTAGACAGATGAGGTTAAACTGCGTAAGAGATACAATGTTATATGAAGCCAATTCCGTCGCCAAGGATTTTGTGGCTATCGGAAATCTAGTGGGTGCAGAACATGGCGTGGAGCGTCTGCGCATTGAAAAATCTCAACATAACCTGCCGCAATGTTCATGTTCATTTCACTGACGTTTTATCATGCTTTGTAGGCTTATTACTGACTGGCTTATTAACATTATCCAATATATCTGCTTGCGACTCATCCGAACCGTCAAGACTGGAGTAGTTTATAGTCATGATTTAGCTTCATCCCCACATGATCAGCTTAACCTCCTATCTCCAGTCTTCATGGCTTCAGGTTAGCTACTGAATATCATCTAAATGAGCTGTCGATCACTATCAATGATTACAATTTTCTATAATAAATACCCCAGACAACGGTAAAGTTTAACTGCGGAAAGCCAGTGAACGCAGCAACACCTTTGGTACCTGAAAGGGGTTCATTAGGGTTTGTGTAGGCACAAACATAACAGCAAATGTCATCTAGACCCAATTTTACTGGGCGGTAGCGCAAAACAGCACGTGTGTCACAAATTCAATCAATGAGAAGGCGTCCTTGAAGTAATGGATCTAATGAATATTATCGATTTCTTGCAAGATCTCTCAAACTAGAGAAAAATCATGCGGTTTGTGTTGGATGGTCTCCTTGATTTAGCTACACAATTTTTTTATTTGCGTCCGTAGACTAATTTAGCGGCCATGATCAAAAATAAGCATTTGCACCATACTCGAAGCATGGAAACAAATTTGATGTCATATCTGGGTTTATATGACAGCAATAAAATTTGCATTTTATTGAAAGTATGAGTGTCTCACTGTTGCTGTACAAAAGTCTGCTTGATGAATTCTTAAAGAAGATAAATGGAATCAAAATGCTTATTATTTAACCAAAATCCTGTAAATATGCAATTCACTTGACTACGGTGCGAAAAACTCTGTTATTTAAGCCAGCCCTATTGACAGAGCTTTTGCGCTCTCTACTGGGTAGTAGGGCAACTACTAGCCAGCGTGGTCGTGTAGTCATCCTACCGTCCAGTAGAGTGCGCGACATCTTCCAGTTATCAAATTGATTATTTACTGGATTTTTATTAAAGAATAAAGAATAAGCATGCTTTAGTTTCATTTATGCCTCCAAAGAATTTACCCGTATTATTTTTAATAAAATGCTCATGACGTCATGTCAATCTATTGAATCAGGTTTGATCCATGTTTCGAGTAGGCCACAAATCCTTTTTGATTAATGGAATTTCAGTCAACTTTTGTGTCCGGACCCAAATGAATGATGTGATATATGAAGTATTTCTTGACTTAATATGACAGTTAGGAGCCCACCTTACACAAGTCGAATAATTTTTCTCTATGTTAAGAGACATTTTGAAAGATTACTCCAAAGACGCCTTATTGGTTCGAATTGTGTACATTCTAGCTGTGTAAACTCATCAGTGTGAGTTGTTTTGCATAAAATAATTAGAATAGTGTCGGTACAGGATCAGAACTCGAAGCTGCTAATACGCCTACATTTCAAATCAGCTATGAATTGACTAAATGTTAATCAATATTTGGTGGCAATTGTTCAGAAACGTCATTAGTTTCAACACCTCTCTTTTTTTATCCAGAATTCAAAATATGAAGACGGGCGACGGAAAGCAAGAGTACAAGAGTCCTCTTCATGTATTGACTGCTGTAGTAAAAAATGAAGGTTTTCTGGCGCTTTGGAAAGGATTTCTGCCATACTACTTCAAACTAGGACCACATACCGTACTAACATTCATATTTTTGGAGCAGTTTAATCAAGTATATCTTAAACTCAAGTACGATGATTGAAGAATACTCGAATGTTCATAGTGATGTAAATGATACCAATGAAGTATTGTCCTTTATATCCATTTTATTATTTAATCCTTATCAAAATAATCGATTGCGACATTTATCAGCGGAAAAATTTGAATTCGAAAATATGTTCTTGGATGTTCTGTGCAAAAAAATATCATAGTCAATATCACAGTTAAATTATTGCTGGTTGCCAAAAGTGGTACTTAAGACTTTGTGACATAGTATCAATATACATAGGTATGTCAGGCCTGGTAAGCCAGAAACCATGCGAACATTGTTAAGGAAGAAAAGTAAGAAAAAGCTAGGGGGCAAAAAGGAAGACAATGATCCTTTAGGGCAGTTAAGCGAATCCTTGCAACATAAATAACACAAAATGTTATTCGAACTTGCGCTGAGTTTATAATAATAAACTAAAGCCGCTTTTTAAAATGATGATGTTTCAATGTGCGACTCCAAAAATTATCAAGCTGTAGTCCACATCATTTTTACTTCAATTAACACTAGCAAGGATACTATGATCGCGGAAAAATTTGAAAATGCGCTAAGTATTGTATTTTTTAGATGTTATATGACATGTACTTCACGAAAAACCATGTCATTCAATACTGTCGGTCTCTATGTCTGTCGGTCTGCCGATTCGCTAATCCTTGGTCCATCTATTACTTGGGAAGTACCTTGGGAATCGGTCCAGTGACGGCGGAGCTGCAGGCAAAATTACCGAAGAAAAAAAAAACCGCTTAAACTTCGCTTTTAGACATTTCAGAGGATCTTGATCATTTAAAGAAAAAAAATTTTAGGGGTTAAAAATCGGATGTTTGAGGTTGTGAGTGATAAGGGAGAGTCTGTGTCAATTTTTGGTGCTAGCAATGTATACCTTCCCAATCCCAGCAATTCTACACACCTATTAGACATATTTCACACATTTGCCCATAAAACTTGAATTATAAGTATTTTCAATATGCTCGTGCCGAAGAACTCAACGAGCATACTTCTGCTTCGAATGTTGAGGCATAACTGAGCGGCGACTCGTAAATTCGTGTATGCAACAACGTGCTGGGTTTGCGAGTTGCCATGTTGCTAGGTTGTCTGTGCCGTCAGTAGGACCGTAGGCTAGATAGCAATCTGTGAGGACTATGGACTAATTCTATGAACCTGTTTGACTGACACAGCCCATTCAATTCCTTTGTTATACATGTTCATAGACAAATTTTTTATAAGGAGGACCAGCTTGTGCCGAATATAATCCTTTATAAACCAATGCTAACGTTGCGCAGGAAGTGCAGAGTCAACCTATTTGACTTGCCATTTTTTTATTCATACTGTCTAAACTATTATTATCAATAAATCGTTCACTACCCACGCCTAGTGGTGAGCAAGTATTGTATCGCGAAAAATTTCGAAAATAAGATATTATGTTCTTTGGATCTCAGTGCGCAAATCTCATATATCTCCTTTGAAAATACGGAAAGGCGTATCTCGAAATTTCTGGAAAATTGGACAGATACGCCAATGTACATACGAGTATTTGAACGTGCTTCAAGCCGTGACGTGAAGGCGAATCTCAAAAACACATTGTTCGCTAGATGTGAAATAAAAAGTAAGGGGCGTGTCTCGAAGTTGAAAAAAATAAATTAGGACGTGAAGGCTCTTCTCAAGATGCGCCTTTAGTACAAAACTTCAACATCCCTATTCAAAGTGCTACAATTTAGGATCAAAAAGAAACCCGTCTCTTTGTTCGCAGATGACTGTGGCGGACAAAATAAGAACTCTATAGTTGCCAGAGCTCTTATGTATATTTTGTCTGCACTAAAACACACACAGGAAATAGGTCTTCGAGTTTTTATACCTAATCACGGGCTAACTAAGGGAGAGTCAGAACATGCACAGTGCCATCTCTTACGCGATTAAAGAAAATTGTTCGCCTTTCGCGACGATCAAAACCCTATGAAGTTTTTTGTTGAAATTCAATAATTTCCTGGATTTCAAAATATTTAGTGAGAACCTTTGATTGCGTTCAATTCGAATTGACGATTAGGGTAATCAGCTTAAGTGGACCGATATTTTTGAATCCATGGTAACCAAAAAAGAATCCCTTCAAACTATTTTTCAAAGTCGATCATACAGATAAAAATTATAGGGCAATATCCTTAAAGCTGCAACCTGCACCTTTCCAAAAATCAACTATTAATCGGTTGAATAAGGAACTTCGTCCAAAATCTTTAGAAAAATATAAAAATTTAATGGCGCTATGTACTGGGGATAAATAAATTTACCAGAGCACCTCCAATATTATACACGTTTACCCCGTACAAGTGGATACATTTTTTATTTCCAATTTTACACCTTTTCTATTTTCAGTTTCGTTTGGATGAGTTTTTGTATGCGGGTATCTTAGCTTTTATTTATTAAAGACTTTTTGTGTTATTAGCGTATTAGTATAGTAGTTCTTGTTTTGTAAACTCGTTTAAGAATATTTTCAAAGCTGTTAAAAGCTGTTTTGGTTACCTTGTTTTGCTTCAACTAAAACATGTGCAATTCTGATGGTCGCCAGCTGCATTTTTTAGAATAAATAAACATTATGTTTTTGATATGTGCATTATTTTATATAAGACCCAAGCCTGTTAATCTGCTTTCTATACAATCAATAAAGGGCGCGTACCTTGTAAGTAGATACAAAAGTAATTGTTAATTATGGAACGTAAAGGCGTATCTTAAACAACTTATTAGAAAATGCCTCGGCAGGAATGAATCCAAAATTTGGGTCGTGTATCTTATTAGTCTTACTTTGTACAAAGTGACTGCCGAAAACAAATCTACTTACGTTTGAAATAGTATAGCAAATTCCTTTAAAACGCTCTACTTCAAATGATCCTGATCGTTCTTGAAAAAAAAATAAAGGTTTATCTGTTGGACATATTTCATACATCATAAGTCTTAGACAGTGTTCTGGTATTACTGCGGTTGCGTCTAAAAGGGCTAGGTATCGGGGAAACGCAGCATTGCCAGCTGGACTAGAGGTCGGGCAGGCAAAGAGTGTCTATGGACTAATTGTGTAGACCTGGTTGACTGACTTGATCCGTTTAATTTCTCTCTTACGCATGTTCGAAACTAACTTTATTCTCAGACATTTATTTGAAACAATTTACTGAGCTGCTACATAACGATGTTATCGAAAATGTTACAAATTACAAACAAGATCTTTTTGAAGCATCATTTCTGTTCAGTCGGAAACTTGCGAACAATACATGTTATATCCCCGGCTATTAAAAATCCACAGAAATTCGTTTTTAGCCACTTTATACACGTTGGTCTATTCATAATTTCACACAATGTACCACAAAACACGGTTCGGTACCTCTTTCAGATTCACCATTTCTAAAGACATGTTCACTTTTCTTTCATCTGCATTGACTAACTCCAAATACAGAGATATTAATGGCGTCACACTCGATAAATTCCAAGTTGCATTCTGTTAAGTCCATTAACACCTCTTAAAAGTATTTAGAGATCAGAACAGGAGTACCGATTTGTAAGCGTGTAATCGAGCGAAATTTCTCTTTTCAGATTTCATTCACAAATCGAAGCTAAACACCTTCGTATATTTCGCTAACATGCTATGTATTTTTTCTGTTTTCTCATCCCATGGTTATAATATAGTGCCTCTAAAATACAATAGCCTATAACGTCTGACTTTCGGGATGACATATTGAGGTAGCAAAAACATTCATATCTCTGTAAAATGTTATCGATTATGAAGGAACGATTGGTACCGTGTAACAGGCTGGATGTTTATGTTAATTTTATTGTTTCGGATTCTTCGAATCGCATTCGCCCTTGATATACGGGGTGTGGCACAAAATTATAATAATGTATTCTTGGAATAAGACAAGTCTTCGGGGGATACTGTAGAAGTAGTGTAAACGTACAATAATCGATGAAAAATTATTTAGGGGTGCTTGTAGTACGCCTTTTAAAGAAGCTTGTCTCGTTTTTTTTGTCGATTCTGCACACTCTTTTGTTCATGGCTACCGCCTGAGAAGTAAAATATTCCTATAATATTGTACCACAACGAATGGCGTGTGCGTGTTTTATTTGTTTCCAAAACATCCGCGAAAAGTACATTGTTATTGTCTGGTCAAACCTTATTTACTCCGTAAAAACATGAACACTCGATCGCCGCTCTATGCGCTTGTCGCTTCCATCCCATGCATTTAAGGTCCTCTGGCCAAGATCGTTATAAAACGATCGATCTACTCCAGATTCTTTTGAATTCATTATGAGCTACGGCCCGTAGAGTTTAGATAGATTTTAGGAGGTGTAATTCTTCTCATCGGAGCGTGTATGTCACACCTCAAGGTAGTAGTAAGAGTAAATACTTCATCAAGACATTGTAAGTTGTTCACATAATTCCATTCCACCTCACAGCAGTTATATTCTCGGTAAATTCATCGTAGTTAAAGTGGCAATAGTATCGACAATAAAATATTTTAGGAGTGCATTCTGGTATTTCTATTATCAATCCACAGAAGAATAATCTGTGATCAGTTATATCTGCCATGCGTATAGTGCTATTCTTGTATACATCCAATGTATTTATTACAAAAGTTACGTCAATCATTTTAGCTGAATTTTTGACAATTCTTATGGGTTCATTAATGACGTAATCTAGACTAAATAATGCCGTGACTTGTAAAAAATTTGTACTTGGACTGGTAGACGTATTGGTGAGATCAATACTTACATCGCACGCTAATAAGCCCCGCCCCAAACATACTACCTGTTAACTATCTGACAACGTAACCTACAATTTGACAACACTGTCACACTAGATGTACGTGATTCATGTATAAATTTCATCACCCTGAATTTCGACTTGACCTGTTCAAAAGATTGGCAGGTTTTTGAAATGCACTGTATGTAAATCTATTATTTACTTCCGTTTTATTAGTATCTCTAGAATTTAAGTAAAAATAACAAAAATTGCTACATGAAACAGAGCGCTACTAAATTCACTTAACAACTGCCTCTCATATTTCACATTTTTAAAGTTATCGATTATAAACTGAGTGACAAGAAATGTAATCACCTAGGTATGTTTATTAGAATTCAAGAATTTTTACATATCGATTTATCTTGCAATGAACAACAAGTGATGAAATGGTCAGGTTCGTCTGTTAAGTTTTTGTGGTGGCTGCGTGTATTGTTTGGTAATAAAGGAGCATTCAGTTTTCGTACTTTCTGCAGATAGCTTACCCTATTAAAAACAACTTTTATGGAACTCAATTTTGTAAAACAAGGCCTAATTTTGAAGAAAAATATTGAATCGATTCTTTGCCTTTCGACTCTAAGTTACATTTTTTTCAAAATAAGATTTTTGAATTGCTTTTATCTTTTTAGATCGCTGACTTGTGCAAAGGTGT